GCCTGCCCGCCGCCGGCGACCCCCAGCAGGGGCTGGGCAGCGGCCTCTCTGCACCGACTGATGCTCTCTGCAGCCCCTGGTAAGAGCCCCACCGCCCACCCCACACCCTGCCTGCCCGGCTCAGGATGGAAGGTGTCCAGGACATGTCCAGGTCTCCAGACCCAGGTACACAGCAATGTTGTGGGCCGTGCCTTGGCAGGCAAGCGGAAAGAAGGCCCCTGTCCAAACACATGGACACTGCCTGGTCACCAGAGGGGCACGTGGCCCAGCAGGGTCCTCACCTCACTCCCACTGCTCGGTGGGTGGGGCTGGGAGGGGCCTGAAACGCCAGGCAGGGGCCAGCGGCAGGCCTGCCCAGGACTCGGGCTGGAGGCTGGGCAGGGCCAACTTTGGCCACGCCCTCCATCCCCTGGTAGTCACCTGTCCACAGGTGGTCACTTTCCCGGTGCCCACAGGTGACGGGGCATGTCCTCCCTGACAAAGATGAGGCCCTCCCCTCAAGGCCAGGAGGCCCTGGCTACGGGCAGGTGGCCCTGGAGTGACCGCTCTATGGGCCCCCCAGCCTCAGACCGGAGCCCCAGCAATGGACGGGGCGTCTGGGGGACTCAGGCCGAGTCTGTCATTGACGTGAGCCCCGCCCAGGGGCGGGCTGTGCACTGCGCCCACTGTCCCTGTGGGCACTGCTGCTCTGAGCAGGCGTGGTATGGGCAGTGGACAGCAGGCCAGCGAGTGTCCGAATGAGTCCTGTAAGCTGGCCCGCAGGGGGCAGGAAGGGTGCCGGGCACCTGGCAGTGCCCTGGAGTGTGCGGCCGAGGGCCCCCAGCCAGGGCGGCCGGCACTGCCCATGGGTGCACAGGGCCAGCGGCAGCCCATGGACGCCACACGCAGGTCCACAGGCTCAAACCACCGGGCTGCAACCCCAGGACTGCGGCCTCCCGGGAGACAAGCGCGCTCCCGTCTGGCCCGAGGGTGGCGGGGGGGCCCGGGCCGAGGAGCGGGGTGCCTGCTGCGGGCGCCCCTCCTTCTGAGCGGCCCCCTCAGCCCCACCGGCTGGGTCCAGGCAGGTGAAATCTGCAACTGCTTTATTACCTCGGCGTCACTCTTTAGAACTTAGAAAATGCACCTTCTAAATAGAAGCACGCTTGGCAGGCGGCTGGGGGGCAGGGGGGTGGGGGGCAGGCCCCCCGAGTCCCCGGCCAGTGCCGGACCCCTCCGCAGAGACCCCGGTGAGGTCAGGAAAGCCTCCAAGGGAAGCCTGTGTCCGGGTTCTCCCGTGGGGCACAGCGCCCCGGCCCCCTCGCTGAAGCCGACTGGCCGGGCCGGGTCCTCTCCCCTGCGGGGGGTCAGGAAGGGCCCCCCAAGCCCACGGCTCCCAGCGGAGGCTCACCTGGGCTTTAGGGGACGTGGGCGCTGGCCGCCAGATGGGCAGGAGGAGGTGGCCAGCCCCAGGCCCAGCAGCCCCGACCCCACCCCGGTTCAGGGCAGTCAGGCCCGGCCAGCAGGAGCCGTCTGGGTAGGCCACCCGCCCCTGGCAGGCTGGCCAGCGCCGCGTGGCCGCCTCCACCCTGGCCGCCACCCTGCCGCCTCCTTCCCGGAGGCCACTGCTCCTGAATGGCTTTAATTCCACTTGTCAGAAGCGCTTGTCCGGGCCGGCTTATGAAGACTTCACAGTCTAGTGGAAAATTGAAGTGGAAATGGCATTGCAGCGCCCTGTTTCCATGGCTGTGCCCCTCACCCCACTGCCCGGAGCCCGCGGCCAGGGCTGGTGCGTCCATTTCCTTCTGAAGACAAGGCCACGCTCTGGGTGTGTCCACTGAGGGGGCTGCTGGGGGCTCCTCCAGCTTCCGTTCTGGCTTCGTGTTTGTTTTATCGATGGTGGCGGGTCCTTCCTTGGCGCTGGCGGACCATTGCTGCCCACAGCTGGCCCGTGGGCCTATGTGGAGCTGGGGGAAGCAGAGGCGCCGCTCACGCTGCTTCTGACGGACCCTGCGCTCGGGGTG